GAGGTGTTCAACAAACAGTTTGTGGCTGGATTAACTTCTCTTAATGTTTCACAAAATAAAAACACACATTTCGTTCACTGGACAAGTTTGACGGATTTGTTCCAATAGTGCCTTGTTCAACATTTTCACGGTAGTTGTATCTACATATTGGTTGCAGATTTAAGGATTTGTTCCATGTCCCTTGGATTTGTTGCAGCAAATGGCTTTGATAAAGACTGCAGGCGAGTGGAGTTGATGCAGAGATTGGCACAGAACTTGGTCAAAATGTAAACACATCGCTGCCATGTCAGATACAACTGATCCAATCATCATGATTTCATTGTTGCGTGTGTATCACTTGGGTGTCAGCAAGTAAAAGGATATTTGATATGCCCATAGCAAAATGAGAACTATAGCACCATGCCTACGTTTGTATTGCCGACGATCTAAACTACAGCACCATGCCTACGTTTGTATTGCCGACCATCTAAACTACAGCACCATGCCTACGTTTGTATTGCCGACCATCTGAACTATAGCACCATGCCTACGTTTGTATTGCCGACCATCTGAACTATAGCACTGCCTACGTTTGTATTGCCGTCGATCTGAACTATAGCACCATGCCTACGTTTGTATTGCCGACCATCTAAACTACAGCACCATGCCTACGTTTGTATTGCCGACGATCTAAACTATAGCACCATGCCTACGTTTGTATTGCCGACGATCTAAACTATAACACCATGTCTATGCACCGACGAGGAAGTATCAACGCCTTGTTTCAGGTTTGATGGTGCTCTTTTTAAATTGTCCTGTTATATCCAAATCCTGTTGCTTCAATTTGACCGATTTCTTATAGAGCAATCTCTTTCATATTTAGAATATAATATTATCACCCATAACAACGCACGCATATCTAATTTAGAAAAAAAATTTCAATACACCAAATGTAAATAAAAGTAAAAGATTTTTAAAAAAAGGGAAGTAACTAGACAGCCGTATGTTGTTTACATGCATACAACAGAGATGGCATTTACAAGGGGCAGACAACTCTAGTTTTAGTTAATTGTTAATTCAGTTGTGTGGTGTGTCAAATTCATTTAAGGAATTGATAAAATAAATTTGGTCATAGTTGTAAAAAAATTAATAACTACTTACCACGGTATTTTTGAAACCTCTAGCTCATTAAAATGATAAAATATCTATATATAAATATCTCTGAACATAAAATGAAAACACTATTTGAAATGCTGTAAAACAATAAAACTCGTTTCGATCATCAATAGACTGCTAAGATCAACAGGATAAAAAAATCTTATTTTCCACTTCGCTTACTCTGTTTTAGAAACTATCTATACCTAGATCTATATAACAGTAGCACACACGAATGTACGTAGTAGGTCAAAGGTCATGTTTATTTTATAAAATGTCCTATAACATGTTCGGTAAGTGAGAACGCTAAGGTATACATGTTCTGTGAACAAATTGTTCCAGATAAAAATAACATTTGGCGGGCTTTGTGTTCTAGAAATGTTCAGCATACATGTCGTAAGTGTAAAAAGGGTGTAAAAGAATTGAGTAAAGTTGGTTTTAACCGATGTTTTGTTTAACACATTTCATTTTCGCGACACTTTCGATTGATGAACTTTAATTACTTTAAAGTCTCGTTGTCCCTACCCAAACCATTTTCTTCACTCCCACTTTAATTGACGTCACTTTCTTCTCTGTCATTATCATTACAAAATCCTATGACGTCATCATCCTAGATTAAAGTCTACTTTCACGTCTTTTGGACATACGTCAGTCTGTGATAAAAATAGACGTCACGTGACTGCGTGTCTATAAAACTAATATCAGATCTCTTTTAATAAAAAAAAATCCCAGTTTTAATTAAGGTCACGTGCTGTTTTCTCTGTCTGCTACAGAAAAAAAAGCTAATTACAAAAGTGGTCACGTGTGCAAGTGACGTCACTACTAACATCACCAGTAAATCTTCAAGATTTCATTAAAGTGTGATTAAATACACGCTTTAGTAATGGTTTTGTGTAGCTTAATAAGACCATTTGCCTGAAAGAAGGCCATTTGCCTGAAGGAAGGCCATTTGCCTGAAGGAAGGCCATTTGCCTGAAGGAAGGCCATTTGCCTGAAGGAAGGCCATTTGCCTGAAGGAAGGCCATTTGCCTGAAGGAAGGCCATTTGCCTGAAGGAAGGCCATTTGCCTGGATCACGGCATGTAGCTATAATAAGACCGTTTGGTCAAGCTGTAGAATGGTCATCTGGTCAGTAAACACAGTACGCCTTCCCCATTAGTGGCTGATTAGCTAATCAAAACCATGTGACCTTTATATACAATCACAGTTAGACGTAGTTGTATCAAATCTACAGCTAAAACAAAGACATTGTGACCACCACAGCTAGACGTAGTTGTATCAAATCTACAGCTAAAACATGCTGACCACCACAGCTAGACGTAGTTGTATCAAATCTAAAGCTAAAACAGACATTTTGACCACCACAGCTAGACGTAGTTGTATCAAATCTACAGCTAAAACATGCTGACCACCACAGCTAAAACATGCTGACCACAGCTAGACGTAGTTGTATCAAATCTACAGCTAAAACATGCTGACCACCACAGCTAGACGTAGTTGTATCAAATCTACAGCTAAAACAGACATTTTGACCACCACAGCTAGACGTAGTTGTATCAAATCTACAGCTAAAACATGCTGACCACCACAGCTAGACGTAGTTGTAATCTACAGCTAAAACAAAGACATTTTGACCATCACAGCTAGACGTAGTTGTATCAAATCTACAGCTAAAACAAAGACATTTTGACCAAATCTTTTTCTTAGGCGACTCGCCTAGAGGTCTAAAAATAGCCGTAACAAGTGGATGCGTCATAAGCTTGCACTTGTCAAAGTCCACTGTGTTTTAAATGTTCGTTCTGTTGTTGTAGTTGTTGTAGTAGGTAATTGGTGCTTTCATGTTGGTGTTCTGGTGCGTTGTATTTTCTAGGGCAAATAACTTGAGTGAATGATTGTCTAGAGCAAGTAACTTGAGTGAATGGTTGTCTAAAGCAAGTAACTTGAGTGAATGATTGTCTAAACCAAGTAACTTGAGTGAATGATTGTGAGTCAGCCAGCTATGTATACTTAACCTCACGAGTTAGAGTGTTTTACTGTCGTTATAGAGATGTCGTGTAGCCTTTTTGTCTGTCTGCCTACAACTCTGTCTCCCAGTCTGTTTTAAAATCTGCCTCAAAATCTGTGTCCCAGTCTCCCTCTTAGTCTGTCTGTCTCTATGTCTGTCTGTCTCTATGTCTGTCTGTCTCTATGTCTGTCTGTCTCTATGTCTGTCTGTCTCTATGTCTGTCTGTCTCTATGTCTGTCTGTCTCTATGTCTGTCTGTCTCTATGTCTGTCTGTCTCTATGTCTGTCTGTCTCTATGTCTGTCTGTCTCTATGTATGTCCGTCTCTATGTCTGTCTGTCTCTATGTCTGTCTGTCTCTATGTCTGTCTGTCTCTATGTCTGTCTGTCTCTATGTCTGTCTGTCTCTATGTCTGTCTGTCTCTATGTCTGTCTGTCTCTATGTCTGTCTGTCTCTATGTCTGTCTGTCTCTATGTCTGTCTGTCTCTATGTCTGTCTGTCTCTATGTCTGTCTGTCTCTATGTCTGTCTGTCTCTATGTCTGTCTGTCTCTATGTCTGTCTGTCTCTATGTCTGTCTGTCTCTATGTCTGTCTGTCTCTATGTCTGTCTGTCTCTATGTCTGTCTGTCTCTATGTCTGTCTGTCTCTATGTCTGTCTGTCTCTATGTCTGTCTGTCTCTATGTCTGTCTGTCTCTATGTCTGTCCGTCTCTATGTCTGTCCGTCTCTATGTCTGTCCGTCTCTATGTCTGTCCGTCTCTATGTCTGTCCGTCTCTATGTCTGTCCGTCTCTATGTCTGTCCGTCTCTATGTCTGTCCGTCTCTATGTCTGTCCGTCTCTATGTCTGTCCGTCTCTATGTCTGTCCGTCTCTATGTCTGTCCGTCTCTATGTCTGTCTGTCTCTATGTCTGTCTGTCTCTATGCCCGTCTGTCACTCTGTCTGTCTTTATTCCATTCTGGCTTTCTGTCTGTCGATGTACTCTTCTGTCTAAGCTAGCATTGATAAAAGGATTACAAATAATTTATTTTTTGTGCTAGTATTGCAAACTTCCGAACATGTTTATTAGTTTCTATAATTTGATGTAACCTACGTGATTTTATTTCTGATGTACGAGAGGAGAGAGAGAGAGAGAAAGAGAGAGAGAGAGAGAGAGAGGAGAGAGGCAATGAGTTGACGGCTTCCCTTCCTCCCCCTGATAAGTTATTATGAAAAAAGTTATATTAAATAATAACCTGATTAAAACACTAATCTTACAACATAACATTGTAATAAAAAATACAATGAAACTATAAAAAATTATATTTAAACAAAACCAAATTACAATATTTTTTTTATACGCCCTCTTCAATTTAAGTCATCCTAATGTTTCTCAATCATCCCATTCTATTTCACTAAAAACATTACTCTGTACATATTCATTCTTTTTTTTGGGTTTTATATGTTATCTGATTTTCAATGCTAAAAAATGTGCATTTATTACATAAGGCCATTGTGGAGAAAAAAGGCCACCGAGCCTACTTTGACCGTTAAAGACTGCTTTTATTATTATGATGATGTATCACAAACACGAATATCATGCCAGGAATACAAACCAACCTTGACCCCCCAACAGATGTCTGTGATATTTATGAGGACTGCAAATGACACGTGTCTTGTTATACATGTCACATGTCATCTCTTTAAATGACAGGTTTTCGTTATGTAACACATTGCTTTAATCTGGCTCTTCTCGGCTTTGACTCAGCACTTACGTTACCGTCACGGATAATCCGTTACACATGAACGAAACATAATCTTTTTTTTCCAGAGATTATCTATGTTAATCCATACAAGATGAATAAAATATTTTTTTTTTGTTTTCAGAGATTAAACCACGGTCACAAAGCCGGTAAGTACTCTTGAAATTATTTACATCTTTTTCCCTCTACTGCTAAGGGAGGTAACTTAAGCGAGCTTGTTGTATGCGAACAATTATCTTTGTTGCTTCCCCTGTGTTGATGTTTGACCTTTCCTCTGGCTGATGTGTGAAATGGTTGTTGCTGATAAACAAAAGTTCACGCGGCCTTCACACAGCTAATGGAAACATCGTGCTGAAGGTAAACAACATCATCATGGCGTCATTAGGAAATGTTGCCCTTTTAGTCAGGCCACTTTAATCTTCTCTATAGTGGACACTTCAGTCACGATGTGGACAGTTTTTATAATGGACATCTTCAACTAGACACACTCCTAACTCCCCCTCCCCTTCCCCCTCACACTGGACACCTATTCTTGTGCTGACTGACACACCACTGTGATGCCGTGTACATGTGATGATCATTGTTTTAAAATTGGCTGACACAATCAGAGTGTAACAAACATTTGACACAAGTCTAAGACCCCCCCCCCCCCCACTCCACACACCACCACACCCACCCATACAATTGACTACGTATGTGACCCCTGTTCGCCAGCACATCGCCCTGTTTTAAACAAACTGGTTGTACCTGGACCAGGAATCAAAACCTACATAGGAGGAGCGAGTATTTTAAATTTTAAACCTAAAACCGTTACTTAAAAAAAAAAAAAAAAAACATATTTTGTTTGTGTGACGATTAGACCGCCAATTATATTGTTGGGGCGTGGGTCTACTACACTATTTTATGTTTGATTTTTTAATTAGTTCATGCTTGTGGCATATAATATGGCGGGGGGGGGGGGGGCTAGTATATTGTTTATTTAGGTATGTATAGCCTGCGTGATTGCCCAATACGTAGAAGCTTTTGTGGACACGAACTTAGAACAATGTTTGAGTGTGGTGACGTATTACGTCAAGGGGAGTAACCCCAACGTGTACTCTGTGGACTGTTGACACCGGATACTGTGGTGTCTTACGTTATTTGGTGCTTTAGTTGATATAACTATATATCTATTTTTTTACAGTAACATTGATAATATTCCAAAATACTTGCCCAACCCCCCCTCCACAATAATACTTGCTCTGACCCCCGGCCCCAACTCTAAACCCCCCCCCCCCCTCTCCCCGTTGTAACAACACTTAATTGACTGAAACATACTTCTCTCTAACGGACAACTCTTTGCTTTTAGGTCAGAATGTTTTTTTACCAGCATTACCTGCCCCTGTCCTCAGTGTTACCCTCGGGATTGTTTCTTTAATGGCCTCATTTAACCCCATCAAACCCGCGGAGAAATACCCCCCCCCCCCCTCTCCCTTTTCTACCGTGACCATATTGTGTTTTTTTTTTTACCTGGTTTTCCCCCTACGTGACCCCCCACCCCTCCCTCACCTCCGTTTTCCAGGGCAGACGTGACATTTGTGACATGTTGACCACGTGACTGAGACCTATCTAAATCGAGACATTACTTGCCCGTGAAATTCACCCCCTTGTTTTAGACCTGCCAATCATCTCGCGGCATAATCTCGTCTCAACAGTTTAGCGATATTTTTTTTTTTTCTGTCCGCTAAAGTCATTTCCTGACTGGAATACTGACTTGAATTCTGCCAGGAAAGTGACTTCTGCGCCTTAGTGAGTCTCCTCTGGACTAGGTCACCCACGCTGCCACACCTACATATCGCTGCACGGACCGACATCCACAATAACAAAGGGAATATTATGGACTGGCAGAAACTAGGCCGCCGGTCTCATCCCCCCCCCCCCCCCCTCCCCACCTTGCCAGGGGATGTAGTGTAGAGTTCAGTCTGCCGAGGATTATCACTGGGATGTATCTAACGTGTGCGGTTAATTTCGTGAACTTGTGTGAGTTGGTGCAATAAGCTAGGTATTAATTAATGAGGTTAATTAGTTAATTAATGCGATGTGAATTAATGCCGTTAGTATTGTGAGTGTTAATAAGTTATTAGGTGATGTTACACGGTGTTTTTGTTAAGCGGTGGTAGGATAGAGAAGGACATAGGACAACTACAGTAGGACAAGGACAGTAGAAAAACTACCGCAGGACAGTATACACGCTACTAAGATGGTGTAATTCTCAAAGTTGTTAGCATTGTGTACATGTTTAACTTGATGGTTTTATACCACACTGGTGAGTGACGCTGTGCTTATCGTTAGTTCACCTAGTGGTGTCTGGTGTTGGGGAGATCTAAATATAACACAGGCTTAACCCTAACATAGAGGTCTTATCCTAATCACAGGCTTAACCCTAACATAGAGGTCTAACTCTAAACACAGGCTTAATCCTAACATGGAGGTCTAACCCTAACATAGAGGTCTAAATCCTAATCACATGCTTAACCCTAACATAGAGGTCTAATCTTAACACAGGCTTAACCCTAACATAGAGGTCTAATACTAATCACATGTTTAATTCTAACATAGAGGTCTTATCCTAATCACATGCTTAATTCTAACATAGAGGTCTAATCCTAATCACATGCTTAATTCTAACATAGAGGTCTTATCCTAATCACATGCTTAATTCTAACATAGAGGTCTAATCCTAATCACATGCTTAATTCTAACATAGAGGTCTAATCCTAATCACATGCTTAATTCTAACATAGAGGTCTAATCCTAATCACATGCTTAACTCTTACACAGAGGTCTAATCCTAATCACAAGCTTAACTCTTACATAGAGGTCTAATCCTAATCACATGCTTAACTCTTACATAGAGGTCTAATCCTAATCACAAGCTTAACTCTTACATAGAGGTCTAATCCTAATCACATGCTTAACTCTTACATAGAGGTCTAATCCTAATCACAAGCTTAACTCTTACATAGAGGTCTAATCCTAATCACATGCTTAACTCTTACATAGAGGTCTAATCCTAATCACAAGCTTAACTCTTACATAGAGGTCTAATCCTAATCACATGCTTAACTCTTACATAGAGGTCTAATCCTAATCACAAGCTTAACTCTTACATAGAGGTCTAATCCTAATCACAAGCTTAACTCTTACATAGAGGTCTAATCCTAATCACAAGCTTAACTCTTACATAGAGGTCTAATCCTAATCACATGCTTAACTCTTACATAGAGGTCTAATCCTAATCACAAGCTTAAGTCTTACATAGAGGTCTAATCCTAATCACATGCTTAACTCTAACATAGAGGTCTAATCCTAATCACATGCTTAACCCTAACATAGAGGTCTAATCCTAATCACAAGCTTAAGTCTTACATAGAGATATAATCCTAAACACAGGCTAAAACCCTAGAACAGACATCTAACCTAGAGGTCACTTCTGCCACAATCGCACGTGCTACACGCACTAGAAGCTCGTGCTGGTCATAAGATACACGTGAGTACACAACGGCACCTTCTGTATAACGGTTTTTTAGAGAATACACACCGGTTATTTTACCTCACAGACACTTGTGTATTGTGTCTCAGACAGTAGTGTATAGCGTCATATTGAAACATATCTTGCGTTGCTCAAGTCCTCTTGATTTCTTAATGAAACATGGCCACACCCATATTGCTTAACGCATTATTTTCACCTTCATTGTCAAGAAGTTACTTGAACTACTGAGAAAAGTAAAGTTTTAAAATTTTATGTGTCCGGTGTAAAATATAAAGTTTAAAGTTAAAATTAATATAAAATATCAAAAGTTATTTTATAGAATGCGAGCTCTGAAAAAGTTTCTTGCTTTTTTAAAATACAAAATAATGATAAACAAAATATCATCGGTGCGTTTCGGTAAAATAAAAATGAGATTCTGTGTCGCGGGATTTAGTTTGACCAGGCTGGTTATATGAGAGTTATGCCCGGCCATGTTTGGTGTCGTGTTATCTGTCCTAGAGGCGAACAATGGGGGGCCTTGTTGGCTGGGGTCTGGTCGGTTCACGGTGGAGCCTGGCTTAGCATCCTTGGGTGACATCTTTAGTGCCCTGTCATGATGCCCTATGGTTGCTGGCCTGTGGCAGATAGTGCCCTGTTGTGTCTGGGCCTGTCGCTAATAGTGCCATAACATCGTGCCCTGTCATAGTGCCCTATTGTCGCTTGGCCTTTCGCTAATAGTGCCATAACATCGTGCCCTGTCATAGTGCCCTGTTGCTGCTGGCTGTGGCAGATAGTGCCCTGTTGTGTCTGTTGACGTTGGCCTGTCGCTATTAGTGCCTTGTCATAGTAAATGCCCTGACATAGTCTACGACATACTTAGTGTGTGTCTATTTAGTTTTACGTTCAAGTATCGAAAACACTCCACTGTCTCAAGCCCGACCCACCCTGACCCACCCCGAACCCTCGTGACCCACCCTGACCCACACCACACGCCTAATCCACAGCTCACCAAACATGGCAGCTGTGACGTGAATCATGGCTTCAAGGAGTTTGAGAAAAAGTCTCTCAATTAGGCCATCGTCGCTGTGATGGTTGGCCATCATTAAAGTTTGGCCATTAGCAATGAGCCGTTTGGCCATCATCGCTGTGATGTTTGGCCATCATTAAAGTTTGGCCATCAGCAATGAGCCGTTTGGCCAACATCTCTGAGATGTCCAGTTTGTCAGTTCCCACGGCCATTAGTGAACTGACCAGTGGTCATTAGCTTGGACCTGTCAACCACTCGTTTGACCATGACATTGGTTCTCCGACATCAACACATCAACATCTGGGGTTACAGATATATCCATGCAGTCATCCATCATGCTGGATGTTATGCTCGATGTTATGCTGGATGTTATGCTGGATGCCAATTTTTTCCATGTCCATTCTTGGCCTTAAAACTCACGTAAACGGTGACTGGCTCTCAGAGGCTAGCTGTTTAGATCAGCTGTACATTTGACCTAGTTCTGCTCTACCAGACACGACCACCTGTTTCTGCCCCGCCCCGCAGACTATCCGGATGCTCACAGGTGACGTCACACTTACCGGAAGATGAAGCGATAACCCCGTGCTATCTCGCATGCGCTATAAATAGAT